TTTCCCTCGATGCCCCATAAGTAGCTGGCCAACTCACACACCGATGCCACCGATGCCATGTATCCAGATCCAGCCATAAATAGCTCATTATCATTAAATTAGGAAAACAAGTTGTTTAACCCAATGCTTGTGGCACTTTGGCTGGAATTTGGTCTATTAACACACATGCACACATGTGTCGGCAAGTACAATCATAAATAAACATTTGTTGCCATTATAATGAGATGAAAGTCAATGTCAATGCAGTCCACACACCTGTACATGGATGCACAATAATGAAGTACATTATGTACTGGCTAACCAGCACCTGCTGGGCCAACTGCATTATAACAGGCCCATTGTCTGGTGAAAGTTTAATGAACCCGATAATCAGGCTAACTAATCCCTCAATTAGAGCGCACCGCAATGCATACGGATAGAGCAGCTCATTATGTTGTATGTACGCAGAGTATATAAGGAATTGAACTTCGACCTTCGGGGGAAGTTAGTGAAAAGTCTGCTACTGACCGCTTATCTCGGGTAAATAAGCGAAACCTAATTGAAAACTAATTTCCTCACACGCCCACCGTGTGTGGGGAAATAAAACGCGAATTACATGCGAATGGCCACAATATGGGCAATAAAACATCGGAATCAGTTTGCTCGCCGTCTTAAGGAACAAGAGCAGCCACATCATGGCTAATAAAAATTTATTGGCGCCAGGACAGGCTCATGACCAGAGCTTGGATATAAATAAAATGGGTCGTAAAAGGGACTTTATGCTGCAGTAAACACGTCATCAACATATCAACTGGGCACAGATAAGCAGTTACCAGTATCAACTTTGCCAAGTTGGGGGCAATTAGAGTCATAAACTGGGGCTCTGAACGCGGAAGAGGCGTCAACGGGCACGTCGGTATATTAGCACTTGATGGAAATGGCTTCGGCCATAACAATCAGCCACGGCAGGTGTACATATAACGCTTTTCAGCGGTTTATCACGGCCGAATCATAAGACTTCCCACCGACCACCGCTCCCGAATAAGTGTAACATTCTATTTTCTGATGTCCGCATAAAATCAGGTCCATGAAGTCATGTGGGAGTTAAGTACATTCCCGCTGAAATCGTTCTTTAATATACCATTACATTTACTTAACTGGTTTAAATACAGAGGCTGGTAAACAACTTGGCATTTAGTCTTTACAACTTAACAATTAAATCTAAAATAAATAAAAAAGGTGCAATAAAGCAATTTATGGAATTAATTTTGATTAATTACAATTGTTGGTCTTCATTTTAAAAAAGTATATTTACTTAATTGATATTAGGTAGAACAAATTATGGTAAAGCTCACACAACAAATTGATGATGTTAAGTTCTAAATCAGAGTAGAAAATATAAAAGAGAAGAAACATTTGATTAATGTTTTTTAAATATGAATGGGCCAAAAGTAACGAAAGCCTTTAAAATACTTTACAGCTTTGTTTTGTTTAAAATGTAGTGCCAAACTTAAATAAGGTTAAGAAGGTTTCCATTATAAAGTTGTTTGTTGATAAATTAAATTTTAATGTACTTGATATAATTTTTAAGCTTTTTAATTCAAAGAACTAATAGCAATTTGAATATATATGAAAATCAGTATTTTCGAATATAGTATACCATAGTAGAGAGAAAGTATGAAGTACAAGGACGGGAGTTGGGTAGATTTTGTCATGTGGTCATGGCCGCCACCCCATCCGCAAAACCTTTTTGCGTTTTTTTTTTTTGCTATGTGCCAAGACGAACTTCTAAGCGCAGAAAATGAAAAGGTGAAGGAACATTTTTTCCATCATCCTTAAATGTGTGTATCGTGCAGGACGTCGCGCAAATCACCCAAGTGAATTCACGCCATTTTTCAGCGTCCGTCGCTTTGTCCGGACGAAGGCCCAAACACACACACCCACACACACCCGCACACACACACACATGGTCGCTCCCCCATGAGTTCAGGTCCAGTCCTGAAAGTCCTATAACGGGCTACCCCACTTAACCGTCCGGCGACCCGGCGAAGCCGCCGATTCAGGTCCTTCTCCTGATGCTGACACGTTCGCTGTCCGTCGCCGGCGTTCGAATACAAAATAAATATCCAATATATGCCCATGTGGGTGTGTATCCTGTTTCTGGCATATATTATAAGTGGAATAGAAAAATAAATGCGCCGAGATAAAAGTTTTTCCTCCCAGCGTCCCAGCGTCCCTGCGTGTCTGCCCCACCCACTCGACCACTCCACCCACCCATGTTCCATTCCACCCCCCACCCACCTCCGCTCAATTCACCGCGGCGCAGCAGCAACATGTCAGCGGCGAACAATAACAACAAGCTGAAGAACGGAGCGCGACAAAGGCCCACTTGCAAGTCGCCCAGTTCAGCCTTTGCAAAACGGACGCGTCACGAAGCACGTTTGAAATATTGAAGGAAGGACATTTAGGAATAAAATGAAAGGATCGCACTCCACCTCTCCGCCCCTCGTAAACGTGTGTCCTCGCGCACACATGCAGAAAAATGTGTTGACTTCAAACTTTTTTTGTTATTTTAATTTGGAAATAATGTAGTTATAGATAATAATATTAAATATTTTAAATGTAGTTATATTATATATAGTTATAGATAATAATATTAAATATTTTAATTATAGTTTGAAGACTGCGAAACTAATAGTCACTCTAAGAAATAACTTTTTTATATCTAAGACTTAGTACCAATAAGCTTTTCTATTTTCATAAGAATACATTTAATTTTGACTTCAAAATAAGATTAAAAATAATTAAGATATAAAGATACTGCCACTAAATTTCAAATCGAAGATATATTTTTTGTTTTGTGTGCACACACACTCACACTCACACACGGACAGCGTCGACAGCCCGTGTGCAAAACCCTCGCGCTACCAAAACCCCCCCTCCACATCGCCATCACATGTCCTGTTTGCTTCGGCAAGAACCCACTTACACACACACACAATCCCCGCCTGCATGTGTGTGTGTATACTTCGCGTAAATATTGGGAGTCCTTGACTACGCGATGTGAATGATGCTGATAAAATACAAATTCTTGGGCCGCGGCGTTGGCCGCTAGTGTATTTACACAACTGTACTTATGCCCAGCCGGTCACTGGCCAAGTCCGAGGCAGGATGGAGGCTGTGGCTGAGGAGGGCGAGGGGGCGGGGTTGGCGAAAGGACGAAAAGGAAGTCCCACCACCGCGGGGGACGACAACACGGCCCACGACCCACGGCCCACGCCTTGGCGCACAACATTGACTAGCCGCTATTACAGGGTCCCGCGACTCGGAAGTCCAAAAGGGACACCGCGAGAAAAGTCGGGGTAAATTTAAAAAAAGTGCCAAAGTGCATACGTGTTTCCATAATTCATATGTTCTATAAAAGTAGTTGTAGTATGTTAAAAACGTATTCATTTAAAAGTCAATACATATGTAAAGCTAAACGTATGAAAAACTACCATTGTCAGGAAACCTTTACTTAACTATACCCCTAAGTTACTATATAGTAATTATATAGGTATAATTGTGGTCAAAATTATTTTTAATTAGGAATCTAGATATACCTATTATGATCTTTTTTTCTCTTCCTAGAGATAAACAAGAGTTTGAAAGAAATTAAATCAATTGAAACAATTAGTTTAATTTAAATTTAAATTGATGCCTTTAGACAAATACATCGTTTAAGACTGCGACTGTTTTTCAGATATCTCGATACAAGGCAAATAAGTAGAGTGCCACACTTTTTCTGACAGTGCACGAAATCTCCTTGTCCAGTTAGCGAACAAAAATCTGCGACGAAATTACGCCACATGTGTTCATGCCACGAGCAAATTTTCAGCGAAGCTAACGTACGGTAGGCGGACAAGGGACAGCACTTTCATCTTAGGACGATTCTTTCAAGGGACGAACCCAATTTCGCCGTCCCATCAGGACGAGGGGTGGCAGTGGGTGGCGGCGGTGGGAGGTGGTGGGCAGTGGGTGGGGGTCACGGACATCATATGAGTTCGCTGTGTGTATGCGTGGGTCGTGAACGATTGTGTGAGCGAATCTGAGGGTGTGGGTATCGCGCTAAATGGACAGCCGCCCAGCTCAGACATTCGTGTGTGTGGCGGTGTGTGTTTTCCAGGATATTTGTCCATGTGAATGTGTGTGTGTGTGTGTGTGTGTGTGGAGATCAATGTGTGTGTGTGTGTGGCCTCCAACCACGGCTCTTCGGCTGTACGGCTTGTGTGCCTTGGGCGCGGGTCCGTACACGGCAGCAGCATCAGCCACTTTGTCCAATTTTCAAACGGTCACTTTTTGAAACGAATTTTCCTCGCCGTCGTTACCACCACCACCCATCCACCCATCCACCTCCCCCTTCACCCAAATCAGAAAAACCACCCAACCGCCCTTAGCGACGTTGTTCGCGCGGCGGCAATGATTCTAGGCCATGAAATCGACATTCGCATTTTAGAATCCACTTAACCACCGGGGGAAGAAACTCTCAGAAATCCAGTATCTGCATCTTAAAGGCCAACCTTTGATTGCGATTTAATCGGAAAGTCGCCAATTCTCGTCGCCTTTGAAGGATTCAATTGAATACTTGACAAAAACAAAGGGGTCAATTTCATCGAGTTATAACTAGCAGATTATCTACATGCGTATTTAATTTATTTATTTCGCAAACGGTTGTTTTAATTTGCTAATTGCAATTATAGCTTACATAAAATATCTTAGTTCAATTTATAAATAACCAAAAGTTTCTGGCCATGAAAAGGAAAAAATTAATGAAATTAATAACCAGTAGATTCCGACCAGGAACAAAAAGTTTGATTTATAGAATAATGGTCAATACACATTTTTTGTAGCTGAAACTTAATTTATATTAAAACCATTGTCTAGTGTTTGCTTCGTTTATTCTTTTATTAATAAATCCGTAATTTCTATATATATATTTGTTATATACATTTTTTTCTAACTCTATAAACTTAATTACACATTATTTTTATTTCGATGACTCAGATGCCCTCCTTCCCAAATCTTCCTTTTTAAAGTTGAGCCGCGAGTCCTTAAGCAAGGAGTTTTTGACTATTTCGTACTTCTTTTGAGACTCTTCATGGGTGAGAGTCAAGCGTTGTTGCACCATGCGTTTATTGAGTTCCAGATCCTTCGACTGTTGCACTAGACGCTTGTAGTCATAGTTGTTGAATTGGTTCTCGAATTTGTTGAGGAATCGATTCAGGGACTTCGACTCGGAGGTTAGCTGGAAATCAAAATAGGTGTAAAAAATTGTGTTTTAAATATTTTAAGTGACTTACATCCTCATAATGGCGTTGCAGGTTATTTAGCAAGCTCACAAATCGCGATTTCAGGTCATTCAGACAGGCATTGTAGGCGTTTAGAGATTGCTCTTGAGTCAGTTCTTCCTGGTGTTTGTAAGGTACCAGATATGGGGCCAGGAAATCGGCGGGCTTACTGGCTATTTCCTTCTTTAGTTCTTCTTCCTCCTCAAACTGAAAGTTAAACAATTTATATTAATTCTATAAAAAGTTTAGAACCACCTTACCTGTCTCATTCTTATAGCTCTGGCTGCTCCATTCCGAAGTGGATCAAATATGCTGAACTTGAGCTTCGGTTCCGCCTTTTCAGACTTACGCAAATCGAAGATATTATTTATGTCCTCGAAGATTTTCTCAAAATTTTTCCTCAGCTGATCCTCATACTGCAGTTGGTCACGTAACAATCTGTATAGTTCCAGATTAGTGCGAGTGGGATCTAAGGGATTTGCCTGCGGAAGATTAAAAGATACAGGTGTAATGCGAATGGGTATTTAAATTATCCCTTACCTTGTATATTTTTGTTAGCTTCTCATCATAAACAAGTTCTTGGCCATAATCCGGTCTTGGTGGCTTTGTAAATTCCACTGTGGTAGCGGTAAGTGCCCCAAACGTATAATGGAACTTGAGAACAATTTTGTTTTGTTGAAAGAGAAATATACGAATTGCAATATCATTTGTGCCCACATCATCGGCACTGGCTTTGTGAAATTTCTCAGTGACTTTCTGTAAGATTTGGCAAATTAAATGTGGGGAAAATTTGTAAGTAAACAATTATGTTCTAAAAACCTTAAGAGTGTTTCCAGCTGGAGTAAAGTCAAACTCCTTGTACCAACACTTGTCACTGCGACCCTTGTAGTGAAGAACAAGGGAGCCTGGTTCAACCACCATCAAATCCAACGAATCTATTCTTGAAGCCGAATAGAAATACACTTTCCGCGGCTGTGAGGTTTCGGAGAAAAACTCAATAGCTGAAATGAGCTGGTTTAAGTTAAACAAGTTCAGATTAAGATGTTTACCCACATTTCAAACTGTCGTTACGGCCTTTGGCGAATATCTCTTCGAATTGGTCGGTGGCATATGTGTACTTCACATGACGCATGAGGTCGGAGCGATTTTCATAGAACTCGTATCGGATTTTGGGAATTGTGCACTCGTCATTGGCGAAAACGGTTAGCTGCATCACCTTGCCATCGCGCTGGGAATAGGGAGCAAATCGCTCGTGGATGGCTCCCTTGTATTGGATCTTCTTCTCGGAGCTGGGAAAACGCTGCTCGAAGTCGGCCAGTCCAATGTGCAGTCGGTCCACCCAGGAACCGATGCAATCCAGGTGCTTCTCCTCGCTAATGTCGCGCTCCTCGTCGGTTATGTTCTCATCCGAGGCCACCTTGTAGGTGCGCATCTCGGGCGGCTCACCCGGCAGCATGTGCTCCCAGTCGCTGGTGTCCCTCAGATCCCATCGCAAGTCGCCCACCCTCTGGTATTTCTGCTTGTTCACGTAGTAGTTGTACTCGTTCCACACACTGTCGACCAGGATATACTGCTTGCAACCCGTTTCGCAAATGAATCCCGTCGAAGGCTCTATGAAAATGGCCGTGGGAGGAGCCTCGACCACATCCCCGTTGACATCCGTGTAGGTAGTCTTGGGCTTCACACTCCAAGGAGCATTGTTTATGATCACCACCCAGGCATGACAGCGTCGATAGTGATGGCGATCCACGGCCAGCAGCTCAAGATCCTTTTCGGAAAAGGGATGGGCGGTAAGTCTTGGTCACCAATGTGTATCATTGTGTCTATCCCTACCTCCATTTGCTTCCGGATAATCTCGTCCTGAATCCGTTTTTCTTCGGCGGCTTTTTGCCTGTGAACCTCGGCCATATCCTCCTCGAGGTGACTCTCCAAATCGGGTAATCCGCGCAACTTATACTTCTGACCCGGCTTCTCAACCTTCGGCTTGATCTCCTCCGCCTCCACCTCGACGATAGGATATGGATAGGGAATGGCCAGTTGGTCATTGAGAATGGTCTCGTCGCGGGCCACTCCGGATACCACCAAGGCGGGGTGACCTGCTCCAATCAGCATACTGGTCAGCAGAGTGGCCATTTCGTAGGAGTTTCCCTTGCGCCTCCGCAACAAAGTGTCCGGCGAAATCAGGCGATTTGGCTTTATAAAAAGTAATACAAAAATATTTTTATGTGTGGAAAATGTTTCTCAACAATAGTAAGTAAAAGAAAATTATATATGTATACAAAAAATAAATTTAATTTAGGATTATAAAAAAGATATTCGCATTTCAGCGGATTTATGTTTTGATTTTGACATGTTAAATATGTTGACATGTTAGTACATATGTACTAATTTTCATTATTATTTTCCAAGATTTTATCAAATATTTGTTAGCATCCACTGATAAACGTCATTGGAAGCCAATATGCAATTTCTGAACAAGAGTTTATTAGCTGCATATAAATGTTTAAAGGTGTACTGATATACCGGGGTTCAGGAAACAGCATGCCAATTTCCAGGAAATTTACCATAAACTATTGCGCAGCACGAGACAAAAAGGAAATCTTCGATTACCTTTAATACCGTTTACCTGCCCAAAGACAATATGTGTACCCTTGTATATGGCCCTGTAAAAACAGCAGGAGTCAAATCCGAGGAGGTTATATTTTACAACCTTGGAAAAGTTATATCCGCTTTGCATAGAAGTTAAGAGCAGCCCAAAATGGAAAATTGACCTGTTGAGCGGTGTGAATTTTATAGATATTTCTATCCTAACCTAATTCATATACACTTCGATCTGTCCGTCCGTCATTCAGTCTGTTTCTACCCAAACTAATCTCATAGATTGAAATCTATCTGGATAAAACTTTCTCAAAAGTCTTTAATCTATTGCATATATATGTCGGAACGGGTCAGATCGGGAGTCTATATAAACTTTTTAGGTCGACCCAAAAATACAAACCAAGTTGAGAACACAGTTTTTTAGAGGATTAAACCACAATCATTTAGAAGTATGCCACTTTGAAATCGGATGTCTGTAAGAAAAGTTATGGGGTGAGAACTGCAGGTTTTAGGTCATTTTTCTGCAAAGCCATTTTTCGAAAATTTGGAAAGGACTATAAAAATGACGGAAAATCGACCCCAAAATACAAAATAAGTTGAGAACGCAGTTTTTTAGAAGATTGAACCAAAATCATTTAGAGGTATGCCATTTTGAAATCGGATGTCTGTAAGAAAAGTTATGGGCTGAGAAGTGCAGGTTTTAGGTCATTTTTCTGCATGGCCATTTTTCGAAAATTTGGAAAGGGGTAACACTATAAAAATGACGGAAAATCGACACCAAAATACAAATCAAGTTGACAACACAGTTTTTTAGATGATTAAACCACAATCATTTAGAGGTATGCCACTTTGAAATCGAATGTCTGTAAGAAAAGTTATGGGCTGAGAAGTGCAGGTTTTAGGTCATTTTTCTGCATGGCCATTTTTCGAAAATTTGGAAAGGGGTAACACTATAAAAATGACGGAAAATCGACCCCAAAATACAAAATAAGTTGAGAACGCAGTTTTTTAGAGGATTGAACCAAAATCATTTAGAGGTATGCCACTTTGAAATCGGATGTCTGTAAGAAAAGTTATGGGCTGAGAAGTGCAGGTTTTAGGTCATTTTTCTGCATGGCCATTTTTCGAAAATTTGGAAAGGGGTAACACTATAAAAATGACGGAAAATCGACCCCAAAATACAAAATAAGTTGAGAACGCAGTTTTTTAGAGGATTGAACCAAAATCATTTAGAGGTATGCCACTTTGAAATCGGATGTCTGTAAGAAAAGTTATGGGCTGAGAAGTGCAGGTTTTAGGTCATTTTTCTGCATGGCCATTTTTTGAAAATTTGGAAAGGGGTAACACTATAAAAATGACTGAAAATCGACCCCAAAATACAAATCAAGTTGACAACACAGTTTTTTAGATGATTAAACCACAATCATTTAGAGGTATGCCACTTTGAAATCGAAAGTCTATGAGAAAAGTTATGGGCTGAGAAGTGCAGGTTTTAGGTCATTTTTCTGCATGGCCATTTTTCGAAAATTTGGAAAGGGGTAACACTATAAAAATGACGGAAAATCGACACCAAAATGCAAATCAAGTTGACAACACAGTTTTTTAGATGATTAAACCACAATCATTTAGAGGTATGCCACTTTGAAATCGAATGTCTGTAAGAAAAGTTATGGGCTGAGAAGTGCAGGTTTTAGGTCACTTTTCTGCAAGGCCATTTTTCGAAAATTTGGAAAGGGGTAACATCATTAAAATGACGGAAAATCGACCCCAAAATACAAATCAAGTTGACAACACAGTTTTTTAGATGATTAAACCACAATCATTTAGAGGTAGGCCACTTTGAAATCGAAAGTCTATGAGAAAAGTTATGGGCTGAGAAGTGCAGGTTGTAGGTCATTTTTCTGCATGGCCATTTTTCGAAAATTTGGAAAGGGGTAACACTGTAAAAATGACGGAAAATCGACACCAAAATACAAATCAAGTTGACAACACAGTTTTTTAGATGATTAAACCACAATCATTTCGAGGTATGCCACTTTGAAATCGGAAGTCTATGAGAAAAGTTATGGGCTGAGAACTGCAGGTTTTAGGTCTTTTTTCTGCAAAGCCAATTTTCGAAAATTTTGTAAAAATGACGGAAAATCGACCCCAAAATACAAAACAAGTTGAAAACACAGTTTTTTAGAGGATTAAACCACAATCATTTAGAGGTATGCCACTTTGAAATCGGATGTCTGTAAGAAAAGTTATGGGCTGAGAAGTGCAGGTTTTAGGTCACTTTTCTGCAAAGCCATTTTTCGAAAATTTGGAAAGGGGTAACACTATAAAAATGACGGAAAATCGACCCCAAAATACAAATCAAGTTGAGAACACAGTTTTTTAGATGATTAAACCACAATCATTTAGAGGTATGCCACTTTGAAATTAGATGTCTGTAAGAAAAGTTATGGGCTGAGAAGTGCAGGTTTTAGGTCATTTTTCTGCATGGCCATTTTTCGAAAATTTGGAAAGGGGTAACACTATAAAAATGAAGGAAAATCGACACCAAAATACAAATCAAGTTGACAACGCAGTTTTTTAGAGGATTGAACCAAAATCATTTCGAGGTATGCCACTTTGAAATCGAAAGTCTATGAGAAAAGTTATGGGCTGAGAAGTGCAGGTTTTAGGTCATTTTTCTGCAAAGCCAATTTTCGAAAATTTGGAAAGGGGTAACACTGTAAAAATGACGAAAAATCGACCAAAAAATACAAACCAAGTTGAGAACACAGTTTTTTAGAGGATTAAACCACAATCATTTCGAGATATGCCACTTTGAAATCGGATGTCTGTAAGAAAAGTTATGGGCTGAGAAGTGCAGTTTTTAGGTCATTTTTCTGCAAAGCCATTTTTCGAAAATTTGGAAAGGGGTAACACTATAAAAATAACGGAAAATCGACCAAAAAATGCAAACCAAGTTGAGAACACAGTTTTTTAGAGGATTAAACCACAATCATTTAGAGGTATGCCACTTTGAAATCGGATATCTGTAAGAAAAGTTATGGGCTGAGAACTGCAGGTTTTAGGTCACTTTTCTGCAAAGCCATTTTCGAAAATTTGGAAAGGGGTAACACTATAAAAATGACGGAAAATCGACCCCAAAATACAAACCGAGTTGAGAACACAGTTTTTTAGAGGATTAAACCACAATCATTTACAGGTATGCCACTTTGAAATCGGATGTCTGTAAGAAAAGTTATGGGCTGAGAAGTGCAGGTTTCTGCAAGGCCATTTTTCGAAAATTTGGGAATGACGAAAAATAGACCCGAAATACAAACCAAGGTGTGAACACAGATTTTTAGAGAATTAAACCTCAATCATTTAGAAATTTGCCGTATGGAAATCAATTGTCTGTTAGGTATGTCATTAATAAAAGGTTCTTATGTATTTTTATTAAATTTGTAAGAAAAAACTAGATCTCTTTTGCAACGGAAAAATAAAACTTCTTGGACTACTGAATAAGAGTCGGTTTTCTAACAGGGGTATTAGGCATATACTGTTTACTCATGCCCGCTCATTTTTATGTTTTTTCGATTTGCGGATGTCATTCAGAGGCCGAAACAATCAGCGGTCTGTTTTCATTGCATCTTTGGTGAGGTAGTGAGACCCACTCCCATTTAATCCGCCTTGGGTTGTCTTTTGTCCCGATTGTTTACCTGCACAGCTGCGACTGCCCCGTAGGTGGCTGCGTGACCCCGTGCCATTCATCTTCTTTCCTGTTCCGCGAAGACTTAGGAGACAATCCCGCCATTGCCAGGAATTCTGTGCATGTGCGTCCGAAACTCTGAAACTCTAAAACTGTGAAGCGTAGCGAAACGGCCATTAACGCGGGAAACGCTGGCAATTATTGTGGGCCTGGTTGCCTTTTCAATCGCTGACATATCCGCACACTCAGATTGCAACAGCACCCCTGTGCCGTGTGGAAATTCAAATGCAGTACATAGCGCTCTGTTTTTGGGTTCCTTTTGGATGAAATTTGGCGGACTAGGAATTGCTTTTATGTAAACAAGATCTTATAGACGATTGAAGGTTTTATTTACTCAAGTAAATGGTGATAAGTCATTTACACTTAGGTATACCAAAAGACCTAAACAAGTATTTTAATTGCTTGGGTATAGATTTACCAATGTTTAGTACTTGATTTCCTAATATATTTAGGAAAACGAATAGTGTTAACCGTTGAATTCACTTGCAAGTAAGTCGAATGCACCAAAAGGGATATAAAATAACATATGCTTTTTCGTCAAATCGAATAGCAGGGTTGATATACTTATTCGCAGCATAGCGCTGAACAGGATTCTAGCGATTTGAAGGAACTGCGGACGTGTGGAGGGTCCTGCACCTTTCCACCCTGCGCAAATACGCCCCGTCGCTTCGAAGAAGGCCATTAAAATGCAAAATCGCCGTGTGAAGCCATAAGAATCAGAATGAGGCCCGGAGTCATAGTCGCAGTCACAGTCACAGTCACAGTCATCAGTTATCAGCGGGGCGAGGGGAGTGGCAGTGTTCGAGGTCAAACACTCTCGCTCGCTCGAATCGATTAGTCAGCAAACCAG